GTCTGGAATGAACTTTTCAAATGTGTTTTTCAGTAAACATTTTTAAAATAATATGTTGGCGTCTCTATAGTATCAAATCACAGGAACTCATTTTAAGATAAGCCGAAAAAATGGCATGAAGAAGCCTCAATTAAATTGAATTAAACAGAAAAATAACACGATATCGGGTTAACCCAAAGTCATGATGGACAATTCCCAGACTGATTTCTTGTGAATCAGGACAATTTCCTATTGGCGGTAGAATAGCACAGTCGAACACCTCAAATGTCAAATACAAAGGCATTTTAAGGTAGATATACATATATTTATACGTTCCCTTTTTAGAGAAGCACTTATCTGGCTTACTAAATCCCGAGGCATTTAAAGGCTGAATCTTAATCAAAGTGTATTCTTGACACAAACTCGATTCATATACGACATACATGTAACCTACATGTCTGGTGCAAATGCCACTGTACAAAAACTTTTATCTTCTGTAGCAGCTAGTAATTTAATTTCTCCACGAACCTCCATAAATTATTTAAAAAGTAATTAGAAAGGACACTTAAAGTAAGAGTGAACCCATTTTGATCCAGTTTCAATTGTTTGATGCAGTCTAATTTATTGTTTGGCCCAACTGTATCGCATCTAAATTCACATCAAAAGGTGCTCTTTAGTTTGGTGTCTTCTATACTGTATTCTACATTTACTCCCTCGTTTCACTGAGACGTCCCCGACCTACGAAACAGCTGCCAACTTAATTCAGAATAACGGCCTTTCTGTATCTTAATTTTGAGTTTGTACTGAAAAGTTTTAGTCAATTATGTATAATTTGTAAAAAAAGCTTTCACGAATAAAAATCGAAAATTCCACCAGACTTTGAAAGCAATAAATTATTGATAACCCATCTCGTATCATGTATCGTTTAAAGGGACATCACTCTGTAGTCTTTTGTCCTTTTCCTATTTTCTGCATGAAACAATGTGGTACAGGTCTATGTGGCAGATGTGGTCAAAATTTCATGAGAAGCGAATGAAAGAAATAAAGATTAAAATGTTAATATGGAAATCCCTATGTGTAAACCAATGAATTAGGACTTCCCAGTACCATCTGAAGTTATGAGTTATAAGAACTAATTTTAAATAGTGGAAGAAATGGCGTAGGAATAAGGTTTATGTTATTAATTGAGTCCCAAATGGAGAAATTGTGATCGAGAAATAACATGTTTTAAGTAATTATTCTGATTAAAGAGTTCTAAGGGCGTAACATCATATCATTTGATCAATATGTATATGGCGGGTGGCGTGGATGACGCAGAAGATAATTTCTCTTCCAGACCTCCGTTTCTTTTTCTCCTTGGCCCTAATTGAATTTGAGTTGAGATAATAGTTCTGATCGCATGTTGGTTCTTTCCTGTTTTGATTTCTATTCGAATTTGAGTTTAAATCAAGATTCTGCTGTCGGTGTTTTTTTTTTTGTCCATGCGTTTCAGAGATATGGCGCCTATGTGTCTTACTAACAATGGAGTATTATGGGCGATGATCTTCTGATTTGTCGTTGTGTTATATGATAATCTGACGTCGTTTTATTGAGTCTTCAGTACTGCCAAAGGTCGAAGTGTTCAGAGAACTAATATGTTTATTATCTGCAGTTTCAAATAAATCATGTGTATAGAACATTGGATAAAATACAAGATGTTTTGCACTGAATTCAATCGTTGTAGGCTTACTAAGGATTCATGCAGAACTAGGGAAATTCATCAGTGCCATACCCGTCGATATTAAACAGAAATTATTTGATTTGTTGCACTATTTTCAACAGTTTGGAGTTTGTTTTACCTTTCATTCTATCTAACCCGCGTTAACCCTCATTTGTTTCACATATCCCGGTTTCGAGAACAGTAATGTTGACCCAAGATATTGAGGCATATTTCTGAGGACGATTTGTCAAATGACAGTTATATACTCAAGGGATACAGACTTTGAATATGGTTCTGGGGAAGACTTCGAGTATAATCTTACAATAAGAATGAAGATCGATTCATACAGAACAAACTGCAATATCAACGATTTGTATCTGGTAAGTGATTGAGGAGTAATTGAAGGAATTGAAGGAGAACTCATAATATAATAGTAATATGAAATCGAAATGGACTGATTGTGGGAGCTGGCTAGTCAATACCGGGTATGTCCCCCATTCGCTCTCTCCACAGCCCTGATTCTCCAATGGCAAGGAGTTCATGAGTGAGTTTATCCTCCTCATTGGGATGTTGGTCAATTCTTCCGCGCGGGCTGCTCTCAGTAGGGCCAGAGTAACAGGGGAGGCTTACGTCGTCGAACCTGTTTATCCAGCTGGTCCCACAAGTGATCAATAGGGGATAGGACGGGGCTGTATGGTGCCCGGTCCAATGAATGGATATTGTTGTTAGTGAGAACGTCGCTACAGATCCTCGGTACACGGCGCCGAATTTATCCTGCTGGAATTTGAGGTTGTTTTGCTGCAATGATGGGACAACATAGGTCGAAGGATCTCATCTCTATAATTAGCGACATTTATTTAACCAGTGAGATTCCTCCCAACACCATAACCGATCTACACCCAAATCTATCCGCCTCCACTACGCAGCAGTCGGCAAAACGCTCTGCACAACGTCGGTATACAGGATGTCGAATGTCTGCTCGAAACGGGGTGAGAAGGTGTTCATCAGTAAACAAGACCCGCTTCCACTTTCTCAATGGGAAAATTCTAGGGGCATGTGCCGCTACCGAAGCAATACGACAATGGCGAGCAGCGGTAATGGACAGACCTTCAAACGGGTGACGTGCACGCAGACAATCTTCCCGCAATCGTTTCCTTAAAGTTTTTGCATGGATAGGACAGTTATGAGTACCTATGGTATGAAGGGCAGATTCAGTGGCAGTAAGGTGCCGAATGCGAAAAAGTGCGAGACGAATAAACTCGTCCTGACGTTGTGACGTCACGCGGGAACGCTCACATCTAAGTCTGTCAGCAAACAGCCAAGTTTCCCTTTGACGTCTAACAAGACATTCTATATTGCAAATATGAACAGTGAAATGTCTGGCAACATGTATTTTCTGTGACCTTGCATGATCATCGCAATGACCTGGTTCCTCTGAATTTCCTTCAGCCGTGCCTTTGTTTAATGATATCATTAGTTAATCAAAATATCGGAAAATGATGTGTCTCTATGAAGACAATGCTACAACACTACTGTGCACGAGATTTCCCCGCTTCCCGCAAGACTTTGCCATGCACCACAATGATGCAACATTCGATACTGGACCACGTGCACTGTAACCTAGCGAGTTGCCTGACCGATTTTCATTGTTTTTGAACAACGCGTTCGCAAGATAATACATCATATCATCCTGCGTTTCTTTATCCCTTGAGAATATATAAGGGCATTAACACTTGGGAAGATATCAAAATAAGTTATGAATATGTCGTTATATTGTCGGTTTAGCCGAGAAAAGATTCATGCTATTAGGTTTATCGTGTAAATTCCTGCTTGCGTCATCTATATGGAAATCTCTTACGCAAACTTGTATAGGGATAGTTAACCAGTACTTTACCATTATATATCTATACATAAATTGATTAATTATACTAACAGTATTTATGTTATAAAATCGACGAGTGCTACTTAAAATAACCAGAGAATCATCATGCAATGAACGTAAGTCTACTATAAACTATACCTTCTCAAATTATGGGACCATTCTTTAAAAAAATGCTGGCACCCGGAACTCTCAAACTGATGGCAGGAATGTAGCAGCATGACGCATAACCAGTGTTCCGGAATATTAATTATTTTGCGTAACCCTTTTTTGTTTATCATTTTGAGCTAGAATTCCAGTTATAATTACAAATTGGTATTCCCAGACGATGTGACTTCCTTTAAGATAAATTTATGCGGAAAATCATGTATTTCCTGAGCTCGATTTTTGTTTTGTTTTTGTTTCCATTGAATCACTATTTCCTGTGCACTGTCACGGGTAAATATTAAATATGATTTATCAACTAAAATATCAACAGAAGTCGGTTGATTCATGGATGAGTGAATTTGTGGATTAAGTGTATCCACGACATCAACAAAGTAAATTCCCCACAACAATCAATCTTTATACACTATACAACACTTTATACTCAAGATTACAAACACTGTAAAATGACATACATATGTACATTGGTTTTTATTTATTTCAAACATGACTGACACTAAACAATGATGTACAAAAACGTTGTCTTGGAAACAGACTTTCCGATACAATAGAATACGGCCCGAACACATTGCATGCTATTCCTCCCAGGTACTGATGCTTTCAAACCGTACTTTTCGTTCATCCTTACCGTTAATATGAATGACCATCTATCAACAGCGGCATATATTGAATACGTTGAAAATCTTTAAATGCTATTGAAAAGAATGCTTTTCAATTGTCTTCTTGGTATTATGCAACAAAACATTTATTTGAATAGTTTGTTTGTCAATATATCTGAATATTAAAGTTGACATTGGTAACTGATCACGTGGTACCTAATATCAAGACTCACAATGTGATAAATGCATTAATACAACCGCGGACACAAATATCTAATTTGACAATATCAAATTGTAACTAGAATCCCGGATGTTGATATTGCGAGCTGCAATGTAACATGTTGCTTCAAACGCGGATGTTGGGGTTAAATGGGACAGTGAAAGTGTGTTAGTTCAACAGCAGATGTGGTTTAGACTGAGTAAGCGAGTTACCTGAAACACAATTTTTTCTTTTCACTGAAGTCGTAAATGTTAACATTTACACGGAAATATCGCACGTAACTATTACGCATATTATGTATACTGAAATTGTAACCACCTTACATTAGGTAATAAGATTATTGTCAACATCAGTTATTACAACCGGATGTGAAAAGGTAATACGTTAAGTATTAAATGAATTATGGAAGTAATCCTGAGAGGTTACACACGTTGTTAACATGAGCTGATTGTCTATACGTTAAATAGTCAATTTCTCGGTGGATTCGCGGCTGTTATTGACGGATTCTGTGGATCTGGAGAGGGCTTTGTGCGGCAACATGAGATATGTGTTTTCTTGGTGAATGTTTCTGTTCAAACCCATAGATGTCCGCTCATAGCACATTCCATCGCTGTACACTTCCGTTTGTTGTTTCATGGTGTGTATCCCTACAAGGAGAGAACATGAATAATGTTGGTACGACTTCAAAGAAGTTATTGTAATATCTAAGATCTAACTGTCCATTCCGGTTAACAAGCAGATGAATGCATACAATAAAAGAGGCAACACTATATTGAATGCTTGCTTTTATGTGACCTCCATTACTAATAAAGTGTATTGACATCAAAGTGGATAGTATGCAAGAAAATTAATAAGTCAATTTGGATGCACTCAAATAATATTGAGATATCATGAAATAAGAATTGTTATGCTTCCACACTTAATTTGTCAGTATTTGGTTCTCATATTGAACAACAGTTCGCCATGAAAAGGGTACACATTTCTACGGGTCACTGATTGGTGAAGATAACCCATTAAATGCAATTATACCGAAGAAGTCATCGATATGTCAGATATTCTTCTTTCATTGATTGTGCAACATATTTAATTTAATTGAATGTATATTTCTAAATTTAAACGGTTTTGAATTAGACACGTGAATTATAAAAGTACAAGATGTATAGAATTTATCAAAACAAAGATAATACAACTCACACTCACATGAATAGCGCATTTTTTAACTTTAAAATCAGAGCCAAATAATTAATCATACAGTCGCTGTGTCCTTCTTGGGCCCGGCAATGACGTTAATGGTCTAAATTTAGAAACATAGGAGTGATAGGAAGAAATGCAACAAACTAGATAACAAGATATAACTATCTTGCAATAATTTGTATACCGAAATTATAAATCAGAAAGATTTTTTTTCTTCAAATTTTCTGATGGCATAGCTTAACATTTCAAACTAATGATAAAAATACACGAAGGGTACGACCTGTAATAAAATCAGAATGTCCACTGAATTTTGATTTCAAATATCAGTAAATCGACAATACAACTGAAACGTTATGTTTTAAGAGCAAAATCAACAATGCTAAGATGTTATCATCTTTCACAAACTTCACAGACGATTATGCATTAAGTGTATTAACATATATGGCCATACGTTATAACACATGTAGTTGTCACAAATGAGAGTAAATCGTTGAGGACAAGATCTTAAAACAAAAACAAAAAATTCACAACTTACCGCAACAGAGCACTTTCTGAAAAGCTCGCCGGAACTTGACGGACATGGCGTTGTAAAGGATGGGATTAATTGCACTGTTGATGTAGATCATAACACGGCAGAACAGCAGAAACCACGTATCAAGGTATTTGTGTTTAGAGAAAGAGTTGTAGACTACCATAGCTCGGTATGGTAGCCACAGTGTAGCGAAGACTCCTACAATCACGATCAGCATCCGAACTACCTAGGAAAGAGAATAAATACACAAGTCATAAAACTGTCCGAATAATTTAGAGGAGTGTACAAAAGTTGAAAGACAAAACAAATAAGAGACAATTTACTTTCCATTCAAATTTAGAATTGGATACAGCACAGCCATATAACGAAAAATCTGCATCATAGAGACGTGTAATCAATATAAGACACGGCAATGATGCTATGGGACTAGAGTGAGGAAATACAGGATGCGAGCAAGGAAAACCAATATTGGATGAAATAGAATAGAGAAGGGAAATGCACTTGTCATATTATTCATGATGGTTTATTTAATTTGCATATTTTGAATTTCGAAATAAAATCATACAGAAATGTATATCATGAGCAGTGTAAGTAAAACAGCATAATTTCAAACATCATTTTCTACATCACAGCGAGACATTTTATTAAATATAACACACCATCCGCATCTGATATTAGTGACCTTTATCGACTTTTTATGATATAGCGGCGCAATTTACGCTCATTTGATATTCCTACGTATTCTGATATATTTGCGTATTTGGAAAACAAAAATAAAACTGTAGATGACGAATAAACACGGTACTGAACATTAATCAAAATTTGATTTCTTGATTATTTCAAATCCAAATTTTCAATACCAAAATACATACACATAAACACACTTATTGGTACAAATAAGTGCTTATAGCCGAAATGAACGTAAAAAAATATCAGACTGAGTGAAATATGATTTTACCTTATTTAAACTTCTGTATGTGTCAGACAGAAGTCTGTAAAAAGTTAAAAAAAATCTTTCCTCTTTCAAACTGTCATTTCTAAAACATTATTTTACACGTGTCATTAATCTGACCGAAAAACAAGTTCGCAGTCATGAAAAACCTACAATAAAGTTGTTTTCGGGGAGCATTCGTCAGTTCCATTGATATGGTTGTTTAATGGTTCTGATATATCTCGGCCAAAGCTCAAAGCCTTCCTCACACGGACGAACGTTCAGCTAAGGAACAACAGCGAGGCAGAGCCAAGGGAGTCATTAGGAAGAAGGAATGTATTTCGAAAAGTTTGGTTTGTTTAATATTACTTTATATTTTATAAACATTAAGGGTGAAAGAAAAAGAAAAAAAATCAAAGTTGTCGCCAATCACGGTCAACAGGTATGACGCCAAATCTGCAGAACAGTATGTGGTATGAGATGTTATAATTCATTAGAGTGAAAACTGTGGTTGGCCTGTCGGTATTCTCTGTGATAGTTTTACGATCTGAAGTCAAGTGAAAAAAAAATGCGATTTTATAGTCATATTTCCTTTGTTGTAGTGAATTGGCCCTTGGTTTTCGCAAAAACCACAAAATCACTATTGTATGTTGCACTAATATTATTTTTGCCCTATCTCATCCTACGATCATAGTCAACTATAAATGATTGACTGAACTACGTCTTTATAATTAGCATTGTTGAACTATTAATATTTTCCTTTCGTTTGTTAAGACAATACATATTTTGAATAAACATGACATTTGACACGAAATATTGACCGCTACACTGCTCTCTGTAGTTTTGTAATAGGCCTATATTGCAGGTTTATAATCCAAGATTAGTCATTAAGAGACCAATGATGTTGTAGAAGTTCTTGACATGAGGGAGGCTCTAAATGTTTTATAAGGTCGGTGCACTGTAAACTGTATACAAGTAATTAATAACTCCTACGTGTCGTTCTTTATCTTATAGAAACCATATATCTTTTCTACGGAACATTTGAGGACCTATCTTCACGGGTTTTATGTCCGTCCTCGTCAGTGTTGGCCATACAAAGACTGTGCTTATAGATGACGTGGGCAGGCGAAGGCCAATCGTGACACCTAATGGCGTATAAAGCAAACATAGCAATATGGCATGTCGCATTACAATACCGTAGAAATTACCAGGAGGTGCTTATAAAGATGGTGCCAAGATCAGAAAACTCGTTTAAGATCCTACTTATATCTATACTCTAAACCAACGTTTCAATTACAGAGGCCTGGTGTTAATTAAAAGTCGAACTCATCGATGTTTTACGAGACACACTGATATAAACTTCATTCAGCATGGGAATATATAGGTAGATCTGATGTTTTTGATGAAAAAGAGTAGAGAAATATAGGCAAGGATGGATAGTTTTGGAATAAATAGAAAACAACAACTTAATCCCACGACGATTAAGCCTTCGAAGTGTAGAAGTGTTGAAAATTAAGATATAATGATGTAAACACTCTAGTTCATGAAAAAAGGGCAAATGTTGTTCCATTATGTGTAACGAAGGTCTGTTGGAAGAAACTGCCAACAAAGATGTTGTCAACCAGAAATTATATCATTTTATATAGTTATCTTCTTTATTGTGTATTTGTACCGTCGTTTTTCTGGCATAACATGATAAAGAAGGGGTTCTGTCACGTTTGAATATGGTATGGTAGAGTATAGAGTGGAAATAAAAGAAAACGTTTTAAAGAATTCGCTTTGGAGAAAAGTCAGAAAAGACCACAAGCCAATTAAACATTACGATTCGAATATTGTCATTTGAGATGAGCATTTTACAACTGCATGCAGTTAGACTCTTGTTCTGATTCTGTTTATGGCAAAACAAATTCTTTACATATAATGAGTTTATGAAATTCAAAAACCATTTGAGGCCATAGGATGTTCGATCCATCTGCTTAAACGGTTGGAAAGAATATAAACAACACGGCCTTGCGTTAGAACACAAGTTATATGGGGACTGCTAATGCATAAAATGTCTTTTAAATATTCAATGATGAATGAATCGCATTTTTCTAATACCATCTGCTTTCAGAAGCCTGATGTCAAAAGGATTATCGTTTCTGTTTTATTCAATTTTGGTAACTTATATACATAAACTCTACGTTTGTTTCTATTGAAGAGCCAAACAATGATTTATATCGTAACAAGATGTATCAATGAAACAAGCATATTCTATTTGGTCAACTGACTTTCATTGTGGAAATGTTTTTCTATAATGCAGTGTTATAGATTATGTCTTATATCGTCGCTTGCCGTAAATTAGCAATCGTTTGTACCGTCTGATAATCATTCCGTCTGTTTATTCCCTTCATCACTGCGGAAGACAAGGTACATCCGTGCCGATACTCGAGTGATCCTTTAGAGACAAATTAATCATCGTCTTCTCGTGGTGATGATGTTTCGGTTTAAGGAAACATAATGAATGAGTATGAAGTTGGGTTTCCGGTAGCCTCCGTACCAGAAATAGAATGGTGTTACTTCAAATACGATAAATCTGTTCCATGAGTAATGTTTCTTTATTCTTTGGATTAGAACAAAATGTTATCTCCTAGTTTAATTATATTTTACGACGTTAATCTATGTCGAATTACGATAAACATGCGATGACCTCAAAAAAAGGACTTAAAGTAGGATGAAGGCGTGTTAAAAATGGTAATTAAGAACGAATCAATGATTCTACTAAATCCCACACTTACGTCCCTCTAGTAATTTTGAATATTGTACGAACGAAATTACATCATCTTGCATTTTCATCCCTCACGCACACGAATCCACATCAACCATTACATTTTTCTAGTGTATTATCAAACTGCAATCATTTATACCAACTAAGAACAGTTTCCAGGTACTGATGGGTGATATCCAGGGGTGATGCTAATTCTCAAGTTGAATTAGAGTGAAAGACATTCGATATATTTTAAAACTTCAAAACCCTTTGACCCATGATAACAATGTGAAGTCAATTTCAAGGAAAACACGTTTTTAAATTGCCTGGCTATTTGTAATATAAATGCAAAGAACAATTGCAAGCACTATAATTGTCGCATCAGAATCTGACGAAAACTTCCATTTTTGTTTTATCGGCAAGAATACTGACAAGAACAGTTTGTTATCTTAAATAATCTTGTCCATGTTCATTAATGTTAATTACATCAGTGTGAACAAGACTTAATCTTATATCTTTAGATATCCACTCCCAACGTAATAGTAACGTAAATCATATGAAATTTGCACTTATAGAAAGAATAATTAAGATTATATGAGGAAGAAATGCTATTACCGAACTCGTCTACTTAACTTAACTTGGAAGACATTGTCAATCAACGTTGGAAGATAGGGTCACGTCTTGTGTCACTACGGCCCAGACGAACACGATCGAAGAGAATTGTATCCTCAAGTATTTTTTTTATTGTTGAAGATTTTATGCTTTGGACGGGTCGTTTGTATAGGCTGTTACTGCTCCCACGCATAACAGGAACAGGATATTGTATTGTCTGGTGCCTGTATCTGCGATGGCAGTATAGAATGTTTGGAGGAGTGTTGTTTATTGATGACAAAAATGTAATGCTTTGCCATCATTGTGATAACCTGGACATGGTAGCACGGTCGCCCGTCCGCCCGATCAGAGTGCATTCAGAGCTGAACGAAGAGCATGAACTTCTAATTCTATAGACTGTTTGTCTCCGAAGTGGCAATATCATATAAATCTCCCTTGTCTGGACTTACGGTTTACATTTTTGCCAAAGAAGAGGCACCGCGAAGCGAGGTTCACGGAAAAATTAATTGTTTTTGAAAGGGTTGGATGTACAAAAGTTTCAAACATAGTCGCCTTATGAAATGAAGCAATAGGATAATAGTAAGCTCCATTCCTGCGCTCTTCATGCGATCCTGCGAGAGTTTGGTGATTGTGACTGTTAATGGTTCAGAGTAATTTTGTTTTTCAATATGTTTTTGCTCAGTGTAAGGAATAATACATGTGTGTCATGGATGTGCTAAAAAACGCTAACCATTCCGGAACAATGGATCTTATTCTCCTTATACCTTCTTTAAGGAGTATCGTATCAATTTTTCTTTTGTTCTAATACCTGGTGAACGATTTGGCTTGCTCGACATGTAAAATTGGAAGGGATGTGTTCAAGGTCATTCACTCTAAAGACATTGGGATTGTTTAAGATTATGACACGAAAAATTACGAGCATTATGTTATTTCACCC